CTCTGTATAAACTGTTGTGGAACAAAGCTAAGAACAGCTGATCTGGAGAGATGAACCACATACTTTCGTTCTTGCCCTCTCTCTGCACAAAAAGAGGTATCTGAACCTAAGCAAGACCCTTAACATCTGCTTCAAGCTCCTGCTCTGTAAAATGGGAATAACTCAGCAGGAGACATTTAACACAAGGTTGGTGAGAGGATAAGACCAAAAGAGAACATTCATGAAGCATTCCTCAGTGTTAAAATGCTATAGTGTCGGTTGACAAATATTTACGTACTGTAATTTAGAGTTTCAAAGGCCTCTCTACATACAGTAAATCAGAAATCACTTCCAAACCACCCATTTATTCAACATAAAACAGAAACCTAGAATTACCGACAGGGCATGACGTATACGTATTATAATGGGCTTAAATTACATGGTGATTTCTGCCCAACCCCATGTAACTCAGCAGGGGCTAGGCATTCCTGCACCCGTGCTTTCTGATGTGCAGCTCAGCAGATGAGGGCTGTGGGGTGGCCCTTCTTGGGTGACATCTTGATGATGCCCTGAGCATTTGTGAGACTGTCTCCAGAGGAGGCTCTAGGGTGCTTGCCGCATCAGTTCTCCCACAGGCTGATCCATAGCACTTTACAGTTTATAAAAATATTCAGTTTGCACAAGACCTTGTTTCTTTTTTTTGAGAGAGAGAGAGAGAGAGAGACAGAGAGACAGAGAGACAGAGAGAGAAAACGAATGGGGGAGGGGCAGAGAGAGGGAGACAGAATCCCAAGTAGGCTCTACACTGTCAGCACAGGGCCCAAGGAGGGGCTTAAACTCACAAACTGTGAGATCATGACCTGAGCTGAAATCAAGAGTCAGAACCTTAACTGACTGAGCCATCCAAGCGTGCACAAGACCTTGTTTCAATTAATCCTTCCAACTACCCAAAGAAGCAGGCAGGACAAAGTGCAGTAAGCCCACTTAAGGATAATTTACCCAGGAGAGGTCGACTTATCCAAGATGCCACCGGTGGAAGAGCTGGACTAACCCCAGTGCATGACTTTCCACTAAACTGTGTTTTGGGATTTCTTAACGATTCATTGAGCACCTAGCACATCAGCCACTGTGCCAGGTACACCTACTCATCGGCTTGGCCTCTGGAGAGGAGCTTTTCAAACTTTCCCCCTCCCCCGCTCCATGCAACTAGTGAGTTTTAAGCATTGGAATTAAGAACCTGACTATTCAGTATGTCACACAGTAGAGCTAAGTGGCAGCACTGTAGCAGTTAGAGATATAGAGCCAGCCTGGCCTGAATCCCAGCCCAGACACCCACGGTCAACTGTTTCCTTATCCGTAAAACGGGGATAACAACTGTGCCAGTTCATAGGGTTTCGAGGACTGATTTAGTGCAGGTGTAGCACTTACAACGGTGCCTGTTACATAAGACCCCAATAAATATTAACTGTTACTTCCTTAGCATTGTGTTGAAAGGAGGAACAAGGGAAGGTTTAAAAACAAATCTCTTTAACCTCTTAGTGTCTCAAAGTTCTCATTTCATTTCACTTATTTCAAGACTCAGGCCCAGAAAAAGGAGCCCTCCCTCATTTGGGCAGAGCTCCAAACCCCTTGCTACGTCAGCATACCACCCTCCCTGGTCTCACCTCTGCCTCCATCATCTCGACTCCATGTCCTTAGGGCTGGATTTGGGTCATGGCCTCCCTGTTGGTCTTCTTGCCTCTGCTCTCTCCTCCATCATTCTCTACTTTTTCTCAATTTTCCCCAAATAGTCACTTAACAAGCATTTTTAACTGAGCACCTATTAACTGGGAGGCACTGTAGTGGATGCTGTGATGGGCTACCCAGATCCCCCTTTAGGAGAGAAGAACTTGCCCCAGCTGCTGCGTATTGACCGCAGAAAGCCCTCACTTGTCAGCCCCTGAGGAGGATTGCCTCAGCTGAAGAAAACCTTTCCGAAGGTCACGCCTCGTTCTGGTAGCAGCTGGCACCTAAAGACTAATCACTCAGCAGAATAAAGGCTGAACCCATTGCCTCAGCTTAGACCAACTCTGCAGGGCTATCCCAGCTCCAGAATGTGGGCTTGGCTGAGCCTTTCCTGGGCCTGCATCACTGCTTGGCTTCTCCCTCTGCTCAACTGATCTCAAGCTGCTTTCCAAGGAAGCAAACCTGTGACAGGCACAGGAGATGCAAAGATGAGCAAGCCGTGGCCTGGCCTTCAAGGGTATCAAGGCAAACCAGAACTACGATCTTATCGGCATACAGCTTATAATGGGGGAAGCACACAGTGCCAATGAAGCCCACTTGGAAGAGGGCGGGGTTGAAGCAGAGTCCATCACCCCAGGTTTGAAAAACCCTCCCAGCCCTTCAGTTATCCAGTCTGCGGGCTCCCGATGATGCAGTGACAGTGCTCTGATGCTGGCAGGGGTGTTGTTTGGTTTGCATCTGTGGATGGACCAGACCCAGGCCTGGGGAACAGTTCCTAGTAAGATATTCTGTACCCAAATGACACATCAGGCTGGGGCATGGCCAGGCAGGGTAAATGGTACCTTCTCTCCTATTCTGTGCTAACATTTACCTGGAAAGCTCAGTAAAATGTCTAGGTCTAACAAATCTCAAGACAGCAATATCACATTGGAATAAACGATTCTGTGGCTGGCATCTTTGAGGGTCGTGTAGATTGGTGCAGAGACCCACTGCACCCTTGTCCACCGGCGACCAACCAGGTTGTCTGGGAAGGCACTGGTGAGTATGGTAAGGCCAGCAGAAGCGGGGAGGCCAGCATTTCAAAGAAGACCTTGCAGACTGAGGTCTTTCAACCCGGCTGGCTCTGGACTGCTTTAAAGGCCTGATGTCGTCAGGGCAGCTCCAGCATCAGTAGCTGTGGGAAGGACCAGCTTTCCAATGGCTGGGGTTAGATAGGGTCTCCACAGCATGGAAGGGCAGACTGCTGTATTGGGCCGGCTGGAGTGATCAAGGGCAGTCTTTTGGGTCACTTTCCCCTTTGCCCTGTGGAGTGGAGATGGCTGATTTTGCTGCCATTTTCCATCCCTGAAGACCACCATCTCCTGCCAACTCACCTCCCCTAACTTCCAGAAATTCACCATACACACTTATCCTGGGATCTTTCTCACCTCCTGCAATTCATTCATGCCGTCTTTCTCAAGTCCTGCAGCAATAGACTTATATTGTCATATATAAAAGCTCTTCATTCACATTTCTTTCATGGAATCATAAACTGGAAGCCAGTCTGGAGGCCATCTAGTGCTGGCTTCCCCCTCAGAGACCTTCTCCGTAGCCTGGCAGGGCTGAACAGTCTCTGGGAACTCACTCCCAGAAAGCAGCCTATTTAAAAGTTTTCTTTCCTTTGAGCCCCAAATGGTCCACCTCTGGAGCCACTCAAGAGAAAAATTTCCTCTTTCCTCAAATAATAATAATAGTCTTTAAATCATAGACCGCTCACCCAAGAATTGCTTTCTGAGGGCTTATATGTTATGTGCTTGCCATCTAAACCTCACAACCCTATAAAGAAACCACGTAGGAAGGTGTTCAAAAAGGTTGTGATGTGCTGTGATTACCCAGCTAATACTAGTGGCCCCTTCTACTACTGGGGATGGAGCTGGGACTTGATTTCAGGCCCTACTCCAATGCCTTTGCTCTTTGTACACAAAGCCACATCCAAAGAAGCAGACTCTGTGTCACAGAACCCTTCAGTTGCATTCTCACCAACTGAGAAATTGAGGACTCCTACAGGGATTCACAAATTAGTAAGGGGTGAAGGGGCTGAGAGCCTGGCACAGAAACTACACCACACGGCCCCCAAACTGGCACACCTGCAGGCCTGAGGGTGAGGAGTGTGGTGGGGACCATGAGAAGACCCTCGTGACTTCAATGGTACACAGAAGTGGCTGGAACACCTCTGGACTTCTAAGAGGGAGGGAGGCTGAGGAGGCTGGCTGACTAGTGGCCCTTTGGCCAGCTTCCTCAGTCTACCAGCACCTGCTGTGTAGTGAACAGACCCTTCTTGATTTCATTCTCCTTTCCTCCAAAAGAGGCTCTTTCCCCCAGCTACCTACATACCACAACAGCCTCAGGGGGCTACAAATCTTAGGTTGACCCCTGTGACTACAATTTCCCATGAAGCCAGCAAGTTCCTTCTGTTGATTCTGGTTTTTCTGTTGTCTTTGAGGAAGGCAAGGTTCCTATTTTAGTGTCTTCTAACAATTACATATAGAAGTGGAGTCCTCAAGAAACAATATTTATAAGAGCTACTACTCTGTTAAACAACTGCTCTCCTGAGATTCCTTGATTTAAAAACAAAGTGCTGTTTCTTCCCATTCGACCCCATTCTCAATTCCCTACTTCCCAGGCCCCCCCCTACATAGTTCGAAGGAAAATAAAGAACATGAAGCCACCCAAGCAAAATGGGACAAAGATAGTTTCTCGGTTTCTCTTCAGCTCCAGCCGAGGATCAGAGAAGCAAGGTGAGCCTAAGTCAGAGACCACAGGCATAAGCAGTTGACAAACCATGCTGGAGGCCAGGTTACAGAATCAGTTCACTCCTCCAAGCAGTGGGACTGAGGCAGCACAAACCAAGCCCCCTTCTGCTGCAGCTGAGCCCAGGCTATAGGGAATAGTATACCCCAGTGATGTAATACATTGCCCTTCATTCCACCAGCTCAGGCCACCCAAAGTAAGGCAGGTGATCTCTGAGCCCCAGTGGCTTTAATGACACCTCCTTCCAGAGCAAGACTGGTGCTGCCATGGACCTGGCCATGTGACTGATATAAGTGTTACAGGAAAAGCCTAAACCTCAGAGCCCACGCCCCTTAACACTGGGCAAGTGCTGCAGCCCTGCCAATGAGCAGCAGAGATGAAGCCAGGGAGATGCAGGGGGACATTTAATTTACACAGCAGCCACTTGGGGCCCAGTCAGAGCTGGGGCAGTTGGGGGGGATCTATAACCAGAGGGCACCCCCACCGCTTCCCTTGAAGACCAGTCCTCACAGACACTTAGACGGGGCTCCCTGGGTTATGCAGAGGATGCTCCAGTTAAAAGGAGATTTGGAAATAAGGCTGTCCCCAAAGTTGGGGAAGTCCGTGGCCTGGAGATGGTTGCCTATATCGCGGCCCAGGGGTCTGAGAGACCAGTCCATATCCTGGGCACAGTCCTCGGCCTGGTGACCCTAAAGGAAGCCCTCACGGCGGAACTGTTCCTGGAGAAGGGCGCGGTACTGGTCAAACCCCCCCTCGACCCGGGTGACGCCGCCGCCTTCGCACACCCACAACTCCCGGCACACCAACCGGATGAAGCGCTCATCGTGGGATACCAATATCACACCGCCCTGAAAGAGAGGAGACCAGGAGGCACTCAGGGGGGCCCTAAGGGGTGATGACACTTGGGGAGGAGCAGGCAGCATGAAGGCACACTCACCCTGAAATTGTTGAGAGCACGGCCCAGAGCCTCAATCGTCTCCATATCCAGGTGGTTTGTGGGTTCATCCAGAATGTAGAAGTTGGGGCTAGAAGGCAGTACCCAGGAAGGTGGGTAGTTATTGGGGTTGGGAGAAAAATGAACCCTCTGATACGAAGGCAAGAGAAACATTTTCTACTTGGCTAGAGGGGTAGAGGGGTAGAGGGGTAGAGGGGTAGAGGGGTAGGGTGTAGAGGGGAAGGCAAGAGCTCACCAGGGCATGGTCATCTGAGCAAAGGCTACCCGACTCTTCTGGCCCCCAGACAAGCTGGCAACAGGGCGCACGGCCAGTTCTCCAGAGATGCCATACCGGCCCAGCTGGTGACGATACTCCTCCTCAGGCCGCCCTGGAACAGGCCTCACCCCATCAAGTGGATTCTTGACCCAACTTTCTCTCTTTGCCCTCCCCTCAGCCCTACCTCCAAATGCCCATGTCCTTATACTTAAACTCGGGGCTCACTGCTCATTACCCCACCCCAAGATGGGCCTAGCCGTAGGGGTCACCTCCTTTCCGGACTCAAATCCCTAAGGTACCGGGAAACTTGCGTGCCAGCAGTTCCACGGCACTGACATTCAGGTCCAGCTGCTCCACGTGGTGCTGGCTGAAATAGCCAATCTTCAGATTCCTACAGGCAGAAACAAAGGTGGAAAGAGGGGATGGAAGGCAATGACCATAAACGAGTGTAGCTACAGTATATGAGCAGTTTGGAATTGGGGGCTTTACCTGTGAGCATGTCTGATGCCCCGGACAGGGGCCAGGTCCCCCATAAGCAGCTTCAGCATGGTAGACTTACCAGCACCATTCTCCCCAACCTGTAAAAAGAACCCCGAGAATGTTCAAGAGTGGACATGTGTGAGACACTGAAGGGAAGGAGATGAGAACTGGTTCTGACCAATGACTCCTTCAACAACGAAAAAAATATTAAGGAACTCTACAGAAAGATGAAAGAGCTAGTAAAGATATAAAGGGAACTGACACCTGAATACCTACTAAGTGCAGGGGATTTAATCCTGCCAATAACTGAGTGACGTAGGTGTTATCACCACTTCGTAACCAAGCTAGCAACAGGCAGAGTCAAGACCTGAAATCTGATCTCTCTTCCATGTTCCATGGTTTGAGAAAACTCAGAGCTAAGACTAGTAAGATAAAGTCTTGTTCTAAGTATTCATAAAATACCACAACCAGGCTTCCTATCTCTGCAAGGAAGTATAGCAAAGCCCTTGGCCCAGGCCAATCCCTGCTCCTGTATACCACTTCCCTTTGCAGCCAGATGATCTGGGCCAATCCACACCACGTGAAGGGGTGGCAGAGTCCCAGCTCACAGAACAGAGAAACAGCAACCATACCACACAAATGCGGGACTCGAGATCAGCAGAGACGGATAGACGGCTGAAGACGACATGCTTAGGATCATAGTAGAAATCCACCTCATCTAGTTGTAGAACTGGTGGTGAGAACTTCTCAAACCCATCAGGGAACCTGCAGGAGGTGGTGGTGAGGAACACAGAGGTGGCCAGAAACAAGAGCTCCCCACCAGCCCCTTGGCCCAGCACTCACTTCATCACCACCTCCAACTCCTTGTCCACAGGTTTGAGCTCCGGTCTGAGGAGAGAGGGGGCAGGCAAACTAAATTTATGGCTTAAAAAAATGACTTTGTTCTTACTACACAAATAATAGATGTTCAGGAAAAACCTAGAAAAAACTCGTAATTCTACCATCCAGACCCCATTCTTATTTTAGAGTACCTTCTTCCAGTTCACAATATCCCTTTCAGGAGATTTTTGGCCTTCCAGTTAATACATTGTGATAAATATTTCATGTCACAAAAACCTAAGCCTTTGATTTTAGACTTCCTTCCACCACCGGCACTTCTAGAAAGGTTGCTATTAGATTAACCCCCCAATGTTCAACGTTGTTAGTCATTAAAGAAATCCAAGTCAAAACCACAGTGAGCTGTCGCTCACACCCACTACGATGGCCAAAATTAAAAAGACAGATAATAAGTGTTGGCAAGGATGTGGAGAAATTGGAACCCTCATACATTGCTGGTAGAAATATAAAATGGTACAGCTGCTTTAGAAAACAGCTTGGCAGTTCCTCAAAAAGTTAAACATAGAATTATCTTGTAACCCAGCAATTCTACTCCGAGGCATATACCCAAGAGAATAGAAAACATATGTCCATACGAAAACTTGTACACAAATGTTTAGAGCACTGTTATTCATAAGAGCCAAAAAACAGAAACACTTCCAATACCCCTCAACTGATGAATCAATGAACAAAATGCTGTATATCCTTATAATGAAATATTACCTAGCCATTAAAAGGCAGGCAATACTGATACATGCTACAACACGAATGAACCTCAAAAACATTACGTTAAGTGAAATAAGCCAGACACAAAATGTCGCCTGTTACAGGATTTCATTTATATAAAATATCCAGAATAAGCAAATATATTAGAGACAGAAAAGAAATTAGTGGTTGCCTAGGACTGTGGGGACAACACTAATTTACAACAGCAGTGTAAAATTCTCTGCTTTCCTGTTGGAGAGGAGATTAAAGTTGGTTTCTAGAAAAGGGGAGACCTAGAATGGGAAGGCAAGGGGTACCCTGCAAAATGAGGGAAAAAATTAAGGGAATAAGAGTCAGGGCCTAATCGAGGGCACCGTACTCACAGCTTCTCCAGCATCTTGAGTTTACTCTGCACTTGAGAAGCTCTGTTGGCGTTGTAGCGAAATCGGTCAATGAAAACCTGTGGGTGGATGAGTGCAGACACTGGTCAGGCTCCCTCATCCCTGAAAACTCTAATACCCATGGGCCCCTAGCCCTGTCTGCCCCCATACCTGGATATGCTGGCGATACTGCTGTTGTGCCTCATATTCACGCTGCTGGTTGAGCAGCCGCTCTTGCTTGCTCTTGATGAAGGTCTCAAAGTCTCCCCGGTAGCCATCTAGCCGCTGGCTATGCAGGTGGATGATGTCTGTGGCTATGGCATTCAGGAAGTTGCGGTCATGGGAGACAACCAGGATTGTAGAGGGCCATGTCTGAGGGGTCACAGGATGGCAGGCCCAGTTTGGGAGGGAAATCAACTTCCAGCACCCCCCACCTCCCCACCAGTGTCTTAGAGGCAGACCTTCCTTAGACCTACTCCAGCACCTATAGCCACTCACTTGCAGGTAATTCTCCAGCCACAGGATGGCCCTTACATCCAGCATGTTTGTGGGTTCTGGAAAAGTTGGGGAGGACACATTTGGGATTGAAGGGCTAGAGAACTTGGATGCTGCCATCCTTCCTCACCCCAAAGTCAGGGTGCCCATTTTAAACTCACCATCCAACAGCAGAAGATCTGGCCTATAGAAAAGAATGCAAGCCTTGAGGTTTTAGGTCAGCAGTTCATGACCTCCCATGAACCAAGGCCAATCCTCCACAGTATCCATGGGCCCCTTCAGGCCCAGGAGACTCACCTAGCAAACAGGGCCCGGGCCAGGGCCAGTCTCATCCTCCAACCACCTGAGAACTCCCTAAAGAAACACAGATCACATCAGCTGTAGGTGTTCACCAGGACAGGTAGAGACAGAGCCAACAGTGTTCGTAACCAAGGATGGCAAGGGCCACTCACCGGGTGGGCTGCTGCTGCATTTTAGGGGTAAAGCCAAGCCCAGCAAGAATGACTGATGCCCTAGAAGTGAGGAAATTAAAGAACCCCGTTGGAACAGGTAACGAAATGGAAAGGTAAAATCTGAAGGAGGGAAGGGGAATTTTAAATACCTGGCAGGTGCCTTGTCGGCCTCAATCTCCTCCAGTTTGGCATATATTTCTGCCAACTGTGCAGCTTCTGAGCCCTCAGCCCTGGAGTGGGAATGGGAGGAAGAGCACTCAGCCTGAATGCAGGTAGTCTTGGGGGAAGGTCCTGCACCCTATGTAGCTGAAAAGCAGGTCACCGACTGCCTTGTTGCCAGGACAGGAACAGAGGACAGGAAGAACCTGCTCAAGACAGTGAGGGCAGTGGGCACTGTGGAAGGAACGGGGCTTTACAGCCCCCACAGAGCCAAGTTCTAAGCTCTGCTGCTTACTAGGATGGGCATGCAAGTTATGGATTGTGGTAGTATGACAGGCACTCTGTGAAAAACTGTGGCTGCTGGTTATTACCTATTCTGGAGCCTTTACCTGCCAGTGGCAATCTGGGTGCTGAGCTCCCGCTCCCTCCGCAGAAGGTCCTCTCTCACGGTGTCACTCTCTAGCACACTCTGAAGGGCAGGGGTGTCATCTCCAGCAACCTCCTGCTCCACGTGCAGCAGGGAAATGTGGGCTGGAACCCGCAGGCTCCGAGTGGCCAACATCTTCAGGAGTGTTGTCTTCCCCAGCCCATTTCGGCCCACCAGTCCATAGCGGCGGCCCCATGCCAGGTTCACATCTGCTCCAGCCAACAGTACCCTGCAGGGGTAGCAGGAAGAAAACAAAGGGTGCTGCTCTAGAAACAGGTATGCAGCAAGTTTAACAACACAAACCTAGTGTTATTTTAAGCCCCATTCCATCTGTCCAAATTCTCCTTTAATTAGAAAAAGAAAAAACGTCACCCCCCACTGCCACTCCCTCACCTATCGCCAAAAGACACATCAAAGTTCTCAATTCGAACGTCATAGGATTTGTTCTTGCCAGATGATTCCAACCGACTCTCCTTTCTGCTGCCTGCCTGGCTGGCTGATGCCTCCTCCAAGACTCTTTCAAAGGAAGAAATGGATGGCTTTTAGCACTCCCAGCCACCCTTCCATCCCAATAGAGACTGCTCTATTCTCTTCTCAGCCCTTCTTACTAAACTCACAGAGGGCTGCTGGTCTTGAGTGTGTCCTTCTCTGAGCGCTTCTCCTGCTTTGCCTTCAGTCGAGCCTCAGCCTTCTCTAGCTTCTTTGCATTCACTGTCTGAAGGTCCAAACACAACCACTTCAGGCTAGGTTGTAGCCTCAGAAACAACATCTTAAGTTACCCTGCTCTCAGGGAAAGACTTTATCAGAAATTCCCCAAAAAGATACTCCAGTATTTAAAGACAGTCAATGCTCACCCTCGCTCACCCTCAGCCCCCACCCTTTCTTCCCCCTCCTCACCGAGGACTGTTCCCTCTTTAGCAGTCCTGGAAGTTTGGTGCCACAGTCTGTAAGCGATAAGAAAAGCAGTCACCTTCTCCCTGAGGGAAGGGAAACTAACATTTTGAGTAATTAATATGAATGAGACACAGACATAGACATTTAAAGAAAAGCCTTACAATCCCAGAAACAGCTGTCATCCCCCCACTTTTCAACAAAACAAAACCAAAAGACACCTTCCAGATTGACAATAGAGAGACTGAGGCAGATAAGCAACTCCTAAAAGGTCATGCAACTGGTTAGAAAAGTCACAAAATTGGGAAGTAAACCCAAGTCTGTCTAGTTACAAGGCCCATATTCTTCCTACCCTACCTAAGAGTTTGGAGACCTGCCCAATCCTACTCCCTTCATCAATGGCCTCTTTTGCCCTCAGTAAAGACATTAACTAGCTTCTACAACCTTTTCCTGTGGAAAAGGGGTACCAGGAGTCCTGGGCTCTAGGGGACAGCGGGCTGGGTAGGGGGTGAAGGCTGAGACAAGGGCAGAGGGCAGCTAGTTCAATCTTCCCTCACTCTCACCGTAGTTTTCTGTTATCTTTGACAACTGGATGGGGGCGTCTAGTAGCACCTGGCTGTTTCCCTGGGTCTGTGGCTCAGCCCTTGACGGTAGAAACAGAAAGCGCAGAATTAGGAGCTGAATAAAAAGCTCTACGACCATCAGACCTTTCTTCCCTTACATCTCGTCTCCTCGCCGTCCGCCCTCCTATCACGCCCCCACCCCCCATCCTGCCCCAAGATTCCCCCGCCCTGGCACTTACAGGCGCAGAGTGTTGTACATGCGCTGGCACACAGCCCTGATGCCCGCGTCATCCTTGCTGTCCCCGGACACTTCCTGCAACAGTTCCCCCACTGCTTCCACCAGGTCATCCACAGACTCGAAGTCCGCGCTGCCGCTGTGCAAGACGCCTTAGGCCGGGCGTGGCAGGTCGAGGAAGAGAGCGGGTACGGTAGACATACAAGCAGTTTTAGCCCCCGAACCACGGCCCCAGTCCGGGCTCCAGACCTAACCGGCTCTCGGGACAAGAGGTCACATAGAGGTGAGGCCTAGCAGCGGTCCCCGGCACTACCCGCCCTTAGTCTTTCCCCTAATGACTTCCATTTCCGATTCCCCAGCGCGTTGATTCGGTTCCGCTCACCCGTCACGTAGTCGAAGACCTGTCCGTCAATTTCAGGGAACTCGCTCCGCAGGATTTCAGCGCAAGTCGCCATGTTCCAGTAGGGCTCCCGTCCGCGCAGGCGCCGTTAGACCTCAGCCAAGACCCGCCTCCGGCCGGTCTCCCAAAAGCTCACCCCTCCTCCCAAAGCGCATGCCTAGTAGTGACGTAAGAAAAGCGCAGAGCACTCGGAATCCGGTGGACTAGGTGATCTGGGATGGAGGAACCGTGCGCAAGCGCCGCTCAGAGTCTACGCTGGAACTGCTCTCTCTGCGCTTGCGCAACGCCGTTTCCACTGAAAAACTAGCCACATGTGCGGTTCTCGCTGCCTTCTGGGAGGTGGAGCTACGGGAGGCGGCGGGGTAGGGTGCAGGGAAGCTCGCGGTTTATCTGGACTCGAGACACCGATGGTCCAGTGGGAGGGAACCTTCTGACAGACGAGGGGTTGATAATGTACGCGGGCCTCGCCCGAGTCTCTGCGTTCCCCTGAGGCGCGTCTACCGCAGCGCGCCCAGCCGGGTCCATTTTGGAGCCCACCGAGAGGTTTGCTGACTCACTCGTCCCCGAGCTTTCAGAAGTCCCTGCACAGTAATGTACAGCCCACAGGTTTTGTTCCGGTCCCCAGGTCCTGCGGGCTTCTGGTATCAGCCCGGTGGCCAGCCCGCCCAGGACCAGCACTCCGTTCTCTCACCTGACAGCTCAGCAGTACTACGCGAATTATTTTCACTCGGTCCTAACCTCACCACAGGGCACAAGCTCTCTCTCCACCAAAGGGCAAGAAAACCAGATCGACAAAAGGCTGTGCAAATTCAATGGTATTTATTCCCTACCTACACCCAAAGCGTACTGCTCTGCATCAGGAAGCTCAGTAAATGACTGTAAAAAGCTACTTCCTCTCACTGATTTCCTCAGAAGTTAAGACTATTTTCCTCAAATGATGCTGCTTTACATTTAATGTGAATATTCTTCCAACCTGGCTCTAAAATTTTCACCTAAGATCCACCATCCTTTGCCATTGCGAAGGATCAGTCCTGCTATTTGAAGTTTAAAAGTTAAGCTCCTAGAGCTAACAACCATTTTATAGGCAATAGAGGGAAAGAGGAATTTTGGGGGGGGGGGGACTACAAACTATGCTTTCTTCAACAACACTGCAAGAGCTGACAGGGAACCTGTGGTTTATATGATTTAAAAAGCATTCACTGACCACAACGGACCTTGTTTAGATCCTTATGGCAAGCTAAAAAAAAAAAAAAAAAAAAACAAAAAAAAAACCACAGGACTCTTGGATTTTGAACACAGATCATGTAGATAAGAAACTGGCCGGGGCGCCTGAGGCCAGTCGGTTAGTTCGTCGACTTTGCCAGCCAGGTCACGATCTTGGGTCCGGTGAGTTCGGTCCCGTGCACGGGTTTCTGGTCTGATGGCTGGAGTCTGAGCCTCGGCTTCCATTTGTGTCTCCCTCTCTCTGCCCCTCCCCGGTTCATGCTCTGTCTCTCTCTCTGTCTCAGAAATAAATAAATGTTGAAAAAAAAAAATTAAAAAAAAAAAAACAAAAAACTGGCCATGAGTTGATAACTTAAGTTGAATGAGCGTTCATTACATATATCTTGTTACTTCTCTTTATATTTGAAGTTTTCTCTAATAGATTTAAAATGGCTGAAACCAAACAAGGGAAAACTGGTGAGGGCAGGTTTGCTCTTTTATCTGCCCCAATACACCAGCAGGGTATGGAATACTCCTCTTAAGGACTAGCTTATCACAAGATTCTCTGCAGAGGGGAAGTTAGCAAGGAGGAGAATCCCTTTTACCAGCCACTCACCACTGTTTGGGAAGCCTGGGTAATTGCGAAAAGGACAGAACTGAGGTCAGTTTCTCAAGATGGTGGGAAAAAACAAATGTAAACCTTGCTTAATCTCTGCTAATTGGAAAATACCTGTCTAAAGCTGGAGGTCAACTAGGGAAAGAATCTCTACCCTCAGGGAACTAGGACCAGGTAGAGCTGCTTGCCCTTGAGGTTGTGTTCTGAGAAAGGAGGCCTGGGACTGACACCAGTCAGAATAAGGGCTTGGATCACCTCAAGGGGGCCCAGAACCTTAAGAGAGCTCAGAATATAAAATTCTACTCAACTCACAGTATGCGGTGTTAAGATTTGGGAAGAGCAATCCCATCAGTTCCCCTCCCCGTGTAGCTCCGGCACCACCAACACTTAGCATCTCGGCTCTACAGAGTTTATTGGGTTTATAACTGGACAAAGTCACACGTGTACAAAATGAAGCTCACACTATCCCAAAGCAGAGTAGGGACTGAGGGCTGGGAATCCATTACTGGCCTTTGGGGGAGCTCCGAGGTGAGGGGCAGCCAACCCTCCCACTCCAGAGAGATGTGGCCACAGGGGAGGGGAGGAGAGGGAGCCCACCTGGCTTTGGTCACAGAACACAGAGCCTGGCATTGGGCCAGGGCACACAGATGGATGGTGGAGTAGGAGCCCCATAAACCACCCTGCCCAGGGAGCCCAGGGACTGCTCCACCAGTCCCGCTCACGATGTGGTTGGTCCAGACCTAGACTCAGGGGCTGGTGCAAAGGGAAGGCAGCAAAGCAGGAGGGAGGAGACGCTGACGTGTGGTGGCCCGGGGGCACCCAGACCTGTGGAAGAAGGTGGGTGGGGAGGCAGGCTAGCTGCTACTAGGCAGCTAGCAGCGGGTCTCATAAATGCCACTGCGGCCAATGTAGCGCACCCATTTGATGACATCATGGTCGCTGTAGTTCAGCTTCGGTTCAAACACCTTCAAGTAACGCACCTTGAGGCCAGAGGGGGCGAATGGCACCTGGGCAAGGGATAGCTCCAGTTAGGAATTTGGTCTTCCTCTCACAGCTGCTCTCCTCTGGGAAGTTCTGTAGCTCTGCCCTACTTCATCTCTCTCTACTACAGGTGTTTGAATGATCGGAGTCCTGAAAGAAGCTAGGGGAAGCTTAAGAAGGATCTTAAAAGGTTACTAAAGAAGAAAGCATATCCAAGTGTAACTAACAATCACTTGGGTTGGAAATCAGGCCCTGCCTGTGGTAACTCGAATCAATTCCTTTAATCAGCAGGAGGCAGCAACCAAAGACCCACGCTCAATATTATGGGCTTAAAAAATAAGGTGGAGAAAATTATATGTCTAACATGTGCAAAGCAATGCCAGCCCAGTCTCCTGTGTGTAAATAAACTTTGGGTCTTATCTGGTAGTCAAACAATCTAAATTTTTCCAAAAAACTGTTTTATGACAAACTTTACAAGTCACAGATTTTTTTTGTCAGTGTGAATAGTAATTTCTAGTAAGAGGCCTGAAGGGGGAGGAAATGGGTCTTTGAATTATAAAAGTCACTTTCCCCTCTCTGGGTCTCATCTGTAGGTCACAAGGTGCAGAAGGTGACCTGGACGATCCTAAGATCTTTATTAGCATACCTTCTGCAGTGGCTCTAGGCCCCCCCCCCCCTTGCCATACCTCAAAGTTCATGGAAATGGGAGGTCGAGCCCATTTCTTCTTGTCATTGGTGGGCAGAAGCTCAATCTCTGCGCTGATCTGTGATTCCTTCATGCCTGCCATACGCTTGATCCTAGGAACAGAGGGGCAATGAGCAGCAAGTGCCCCTGATAGCTTGGAGGAGTTTCAAGGTGGACGGTGCCCTTTCTGGAGGGGTGGGGGGAATGGAACAGAGGAACTTGTGGGAAGTGCTAGGACAGGAAATGTGGTAAGGGCCCTGGCAATCACTTGCTATGGAATCTTGGGTCTGCTATTCCTTTAGCACTGTGGGCTGCAATTTCAGCCTAAATACACAAGCATGCTATCCCTTGCTATTTCACAGAGATGTTACAAGGGCAAATAGGGAAATGTTGAGGCATTTTGATAACTAAATGCACGCATGCACCCAAGTGCAGGCATGTGCATACTCACACAGAGGTATATGGATGACAGCATAAGCAGAGGCTCCTGGAGAAGCAGACAGGCACCCCCCATCCTTGCAACACACACACACATACACACACACACATACACACACACACCACACTCACACTCAAGAGGATGAAGGTAAGACTTAAGGGAGTACACCAAAGCATCTTAAGCCCTGCAGTGACCTTGTGAAGGAGACTCACTTCCACACGATGGCGTTCTCGCTGGCCTTGTATTTGGCCTTCCCCTTCATGCAGATCACCTGTACCCCGCTTGTGTTCAGTGGGGTTGGGATCCTCACCTAGAAGTGATATACCTGTCAGAGAGCTCTGTCAAGCCCCGACATCAGCTGCCTTTATCTGGAGACAGTGTTTCCTCCTCCCCAAGTCCCTTGTTCTCACCTCAATCTTCTGAGCCAGTAATGAAGGCTTGAAATTGGACTTGATAACCACCTTGACCTCCAGCTTGGTGCGTCCCACTTCCCGCACTAGCGGGATCACCCGGAAAGGAAGGATGATGTCCTTGGTGGTGCGATACCTTTAGGGGCGGGGAGTAAGGTTGGCACAGCAGAGCCTGTCCTCCTCCCTCTCCCCACTCTCTGCCAGCAGCATTCCCTGCCTCCTCACACCCCAATGGTACCTCATGAGCTCAAACTCTCCATCTGGTGGGATGAAGCTAATGCTGCGTTCAGAGTCAAACTTGCTGAGTCGCACACACTGGTGGAAGGTACAGTCATCGATGGCAATTGATTGCTTCCCACTGTGAGCAGGGGCAGAAGGTCTCTTCGTTGGTACAGAAGAGTGGCAAGAGAGAGTTGGGCTGGGAATCTATCCCACCCCCAAAGGCTGCCACATCCTGAGTGAAGCTTGCACTACAGACTGTGGAAAGCTACCAGAATATAGCTTTTTGACTCAGGGGTCCCTGCTGCCAATTTAGGGATGAGTGGGAGCTTTGCAAATTCACCATTCTGGAGAACTCCGCTGCTTGGGACCCAGAGGTTTTAGGCACACTGGCCAGAAGCCATCAGTATGTTATAGAAAAATCTTAGTCCTGGGGAATCAAACAAAGGGGACTACTCTTTAAGTACGATGAGTACAATCCCTTCATCTCTCTTAAGCACAGATGT